GGCCGGGGCGGCGGGACGGCGCTCCCGGCCTTATATAGACGAAAGGGCGGCGGGGGCGGCCCACGCGTGGCCGTTTTCTCGCGGGGAGATGCGCAGCGCGGGGCGGCGCCTGGAGGGGCTGAGAACAGGCACGTCCCGGGGTCCCTGTGGGTGTCCCCCACCTCTCCTGGTCTGGTGACACAGGGGGACACCGGGCTCTGCGGAGCTCTGGTCACCCACGGGTGACACCAGCCCACGGGTGGTGGTTCACTCCAGGCTTCCTGGAGCAGCTCTCGGCCCCTTGTCAGCAGGCGTGGGGCTGCCTGTGGACCAGTGGCCCAGTTGGGTTACACGGAGAAGCCTTGAGGGCATCCAAAGGCTGCACAGAGGGTGGATGAAAGCCTGTGTTAATGATCCAGTGGGACCAGGCTGCAAAGGGAATGGTGGCCAGAAACACCAGCCGGTTGGCGCTGAGCCCTGCCTCTGCCCCAGGCTGCCAGCCCCCCCAGAAGGACTAAGTCAAACAGCCCCTCAAAGTTCCTCTAAAAAGTTGCCTGAAGTGGAGAACAGCTGGGACCTGCCCCATTCCCAAGCTGGGGTGTGGAGCCCAGAGGCACAGGGATGGAGAGCTGCCACCCTTCACCTGAAGCAGGACAGGCACCGGTCCTGGGGACATCTGTCCGGGGCAGCAGGTCTTGCTCACGTTTCCTTCCCATCAGCAACCCCACACCACATCCCAGTCCTGCAGCCACCAAGAGGAGCACCCGGTCCTGTGGGCTCCCCCTCAGGGTGGTGATCCCCTCCCCAGACATCATCCCAGGGGGGATTTATCTTTGGTTTGGGCCAGGATTCAGCCCACAGAGGAGCAGGCAAGTGGGAGAGGGAGACACCAGGAGCATTTCTGAGAGGGATTCACCCAACCCTGCTGGAGCAGGGCTGCTCTGCCCGGGTGCCGACAGCAGCTCCATCACTGCCCGTGGAGAGAGGTGGGAGCTCGAGGATGAGGACCGTACCCTGCCGTCACCCCTGGGCACTTCCCAGCATGGCAGAGCCATGTCGAGGGGACAGCGTGGCGCACATGGGCTGCACTCACAGCAATACAGGTGAAGAGCAGAAATGAGCAGTGGCACAAATTAATCTTCAGCTGCCATTCTCCTGCGGGGCATCACTACAAACAACAGTTAATAAAACCCCCAAAAACCTGTTTCATCACTGATGCGAAGGCAGTGGAGATGCCCCCCAGCAGCCTGGCCAGGCCCTGCCCAGGGCACTGATTTTGTTCCCGCTGACTCAGAAGACCAGTGACCTGCTCTGCCAACAGCCTGCCAGACTTGGGGGCATCCTAACCGACCGTGGCCTCCTGCTGCTTGGAGTAGACCTGCCAGGGCATTGCCCCCTCCAGGGAGCAGGGGAGCCACGGAGCTTGTTTGGTCTTCGCTGGAGGCAGGTGTCCTCCTGCCCACGTCCCCTCCAAAGGAGAGGCTGTGCTGGGGGAGGAATCAGGAGCCACCCAAACGTGGAGATGGGGTTGGAAATGCTGCCAAGTGCCGTGGCGGGGCAGAGGTGAGCCGGGGAGAGCACAGAGCCTTTGCCATGTCTGTGATCTGGGCAGGGGGTCCCAAGAAGGTTTGCCTTTTTAATAAAAATATGAGGAAAAAGGAAGGAAAAAGGAACAAATACCAGGAGTCACTGCCACCCCGTGGCTGGTCGCAGGTTTTTCTGTGTTGGATCAAAGGCCCAGCCTCAGCCGTGTCCCCCAGGAGCCTGGTGGGAGGCAGGACCCCCCCTCCAGCCCCTCTGGGGTGGCCACTGTCCCCAGCCGAGCCCCAGTTCCTCACCACTGGGCAGGTGCCAGGCTGGGACCCAGCAGGGGGGAACTGGTGAAGTGGGGCAGTCTGGACGTGGCAGCTCCTCGCATGCTTTGCAGCCTCTGAAGCTGCGTGCAGGCGAAGGGCTGCTGTGGGGCCACCTCGCCCAGTCCCTCGGGCTCTCCCCTGAGCCCCATCCAGCCCTTCCCACCGTCCTCTGCCTGTGCCCAGGGCTCCCCATGTATCCTTCTCCCCTGCTTCCACGTGCCTGCCACTTGCCTGCCTGTTTGCATCCCCGTGACATCCTCTAGCACCTCTCCAGCCTCCTCTTTTTTCCTTCAAGCCCCAATTTAATTTGCTTTTCTCTATGGGCAATGGATCAGGCAATGGAGATGGAGTAAAACAAGCCAGGGCTTTTTTTTTGGCACTTGAAGTTTAGATGACAGGTGTCTCATCATCATGCAAGCGCTTCCACCCGTGCAAAGTGGCCTGGGGCAGGAGCATGGAGCTGGGGACAGTGAGACTCCTCACGTGCCTCCAACACAGCCTGAAGTCCTGGAAGAGCTCGGCCCTGGGGTCCCACAGCAGTCGGCTCCCCCTGTGCTAGGTGACCGTGTCCATCACAGAGCGGAGGGTGCGGAGCAGGAGGGGGGCTGCCATGCCCTGAGCACCCAAGGAGCACCCCGGGAGCAAGGCTGGAGCCAGGGCACATGAGACCTGACCCCTCAGCAAAGGGCCCTGTCATGGGGGTGTCAGAGGCAAAGGTCCTGCTGGAGATACAGCAATGACCCCCCACCGTGTCCCCCCTAACTGCCAATGCAACATGGCTCTGTTGACTTAGACCAGCCTTTACCCTGTGGCAAATGCCCAAGGGGTTGGACATGCGGTCAGGGGCCTGGTAGCTGGAGCAGGGCAAGATACTTTTGAAGTCCAAAAGTATCTTGCATAATCTGTATTTAAATTACACGGTCTCGGCTGGAAGTGATTGGAGGTCTGGGACAAAGACTCATCTGCCTGCTTGCCTCTGTGATAACCACACACAGCTCACGTAGCTCCAGTCTACCCCCGACGGTTCCCATGTCCTGCTCAAGTCAACAGCACAGTGGCTGCTACTGAAGTATTTAGCGCTGCAGAACAGTCAGGCTCCTGAGATACTCAGCACGTCACACATTTGCTAGTTTGTGCAACACAAAGAAATGCAGGACCTCAGGCCTGGGGTTTGTTAATGGAGAAATTAAACAGTGAACCTCCAGCTTCTCTGGGCAATCTGCGCCAGGGGCTCACCACCCTCAGAATGAAAAATTTCTTCATAATATCTAATCTAAATCTCCCCTCTTTCAATTTAAAACCATTCCCCCCAGTCCTATCGCTCCCCTCCCTGATCCAGAGTCCCTCCCCAGCTCTCCTGGAGCCCCTTTAGGCACTGGAAGGGGCTCTGAGGTCTCCCCTTTTTCGCCTTCTCTTCTCCAGGCTGAACCCCCCCAACTCTCCCAGCCTGTCCTCCCAGCAGAGGGGCTCCAGCCCTCCCAGCAGCTCCGTGCCCTCCTCTGGCCCCGCTCCAACAGCTCCGTGTCCTTCTGCTGTTGGGACCCCCCGAGCTGGAGGCAGCACTGCAGAGGGGTCTCCCCAGAGCGCAGCAGAGGGGCTGAAGAAGTAATTCCCAACATGTTTTTTCATAAGGAATACTACTGTTTGAGGTTGAATATCATTGCTTTTGTAAGGCAAGAAGATAAAAAATAGTCAAACCTTTAGGACCCCACACGTGATTATTTTACTTGCATACGCTTCCAAGACGATGATTTCTACAGACGGCATATGTTTGCC